GTACAAGGTGTACCAGAAGGTTTTTATTCAATTTAAATATTTTCTTAACCTACTAAAAACAGTTACTATTCATATTAAATGTAATGTTGAATATTTATTTGTTTAAAACTTGCTTTTTCATTTAAATTAAATTGTTTTTTTTTAACTCCATCGACCTTACTAAAACACATCCCTTCCCAATCCCAGATACTCCGCCTTGGAATAGACCAATCCCACATTCAATCACTTCTCTATTAGAATACAGTAAATATGAAACCTCAAGCCTTCTCATAAGACAACACTTCAAAGAAATCCTAAGCAAGCCAATTCCAAACAATTCTGTATACAGATGCCTCCAAAAGCGAAGCAGGCGTTGGATGTGCCATTACCACACATGATGAAGTAATAAAATCATCTTTTTTACCGAGTTTATGCAGCGTATACACTGGAGAATTTTAAAATAAGAGGCAGTAAAAGTAGCATACAGTCTATTATAATCATGTATAGTGATTGATTACTATTCCCTTTTCTTTTTTTCCTATATCATGGTCATTAACTATAACCAAGAATTACAATGGACTGGGTACCACAAGGTCAGACAGTTAAAAATTATTACTATTTAGGGATTTTACGAAGACTCCGAGGAACATGATGTGATCATCCATCACAAGGCGCACTTTGTCAAGGACCATTTGGGCAAAACTAGGTCACAGTCAAAAAACACCCGCCTTATTCGCCAGATTTAGCACCCTGTGCCTTCTGTCTGTTTCAAAATATGAAATCCTGCCTGAAACAAATCCACCACGGGCTTGTACAGGATATGAAGCAAAAATCGGCTCAGCTACTCAACAGGCTGTCGGAACATGGAAGAAGGTTAGCCTGGAGAGATGTAGAAACGCAGAAGGAGTCTATATTGAAAAAAAAAATTGCTAGATAAAGAAATTTCACCAACAGACTAGGAAATTAATTGCTAGACTTTGTATTTCAAATTGTTTAGTAGTTTAAGAAAAAAAAATTAAATAAAAATGTGCAAAAATACTGGTAGTAAATAAGAAAATTTTTTCTAGCAATTTATGATATTTTTAGTTTTTTACTTTAAAAAAATTTGATATGTTGAATTAGTAAAGATATATATGAGAACGTGAGTATTTTATGAGAAATAAGCTCAAGCTTAGCAATAGCGTTGTAAACTATGCTTTATTATTGAATGTGATGTGTAGCTGACATTATTTTGTAAATGGTTTATTTATTAGAAAATATATATTGATTCTTTGAATACTTCTTTTGGTATCTTTACAGCTTGGTTATGGGCCGCTTCTTTGCATGTTGCTATTAAGAGAACCAACATGATGGAACAGTGTTGATAAAATGAAAAGAAACTAACTAGGAAATTAGCTAAACACTAACTAGGAGTACCTGTAAGGAGGAAGACCAAACATGTCTTGTAAGATCGAGTGAAAAGAGATATCTCTGGGCAAAATCAATATTGATGTAAATCCAATAGAAACAGGAGAAAACGTATTTTTCGGCATTAGTAACTTCGGAATCTATGCCCATTCCCCACCTTATTAATTATTTAAAAACAAAGAAAAGAAATTAAAAAAAAAGAACAAACATATTGAAATTATGAACCAAGATAGATTGGTAAGACATGATGTAAAATATAAACTACGCGAAGAAGAGAAGATATTAAGACTAACGACGGAACAGGCTTAAAGCCTAATCCTTGAAGTGAAGAAGGAGAAGAAGCAGATTAATTATTTAGATATTAAATGTTTATGCCTGTGATATTCGAACTCAGATCTCCTTTTATTATGAAAATATCATGGTGCCTTAACCAACGAGTTTTAAGAAAATATAAAACATAGAGGAGCGGTTCTCATATATACATAGATAAAGGATCAAGAGACTGATGATACTAATCATAGTAAGATACTGCTGCACGATCATATTGCATGCCAAAGACAGAAATATTTTACAAACTTCATTTCTAGATTGTCGATAAAAATTTGTGGCATTTTACATTTTTTACAATTGATAGCTACATACGCAAGAAAATATCACCTGCAAAAAACTTGAAAGGACCTGAAGACACTTCCGGGAACATTATTTTAGTTCTTGTACTCAACATAGATGATTCCATCTACGAAAAACAGAATGAAAAAGTCCATCTTGTACCTGTAAACTTTGCATTCTTAACTTTTTGGTATTCAACTGCGGAGAAAGTTAGTGAAACGGAGAAATTCAAATAAAATTTTTGTGAAAAAGTAACTTTATATGCAGCTGCATTTAAAATTTGGGCACGTTATGTATGTCATCAAGATATTGGAATAATTGATTTTCGTAGGGAGTATTTTCTTTAGAAAATTAATAAATGATCAAAATCTAATAAATTTAATATTTGGTTTTCTTATTCAAAAGGAATACATCAAGCGGCCAAAGAAGCATTAGGAATAAGAGTAAACAAACTCAGAAAGACAAATAATTGGTGGAATGATGAACTACAGGAAATGAAAGATCAAAAGCAAAAATTATATCACAGATGGTTGGGAACAAAGGATCAAGAACACAAAAGAGAATATAGAGAAATGGTAAATAAATTTAAATCCACGATAATAGAGTCAAAAAATCAAAGCTGGGAGAGAAAATGTCAGGAATTAGATACGTATATTGGCGGCCGCAAATCAAGAGAATCCTGGAGATTTATAAAAAACATCAGATCCAACAGAACAGAACAAATAGCCATACACTCCATAGAGCCCGAAAAATGGGAACAACACTATAAAACACTGTTAGTAGAAGAAAGACCGGAATTCAAAAACATAGAACAACATGAAATCCTGATTCAAGGAGAGCCTCCAACAATTAACATCGAAGAAACTAAAAAAGCTATATCATTGTTGAAAAATGGACGTGCTCCGGGCCCAGAGGGGATATATGCAGAGTTATTAAAAAATGGAACCAACAAACTATTCGAGATACTAACAGAAGTTTTCAATAGGCACTTGCACGGAGAACCAGTGCCACAAAGTTGGAAAGAAGGATGGATTACATCTATCCATAAAAAAGGAAATAAGGAAGATTGCAATAACTATCGGGGTATAACTGTTACGAGTACGCTTAGCAGATTATATGGGAGAATTATAAAAGAACGCATATGCGAAGAATACCGTCCTTTTGAATCAGAAGAACAAAACGGATTCAGAGCGGGACGATCCACAATAGATAGTATTTTTTGCTTATCCCAAATACTCGAGAAAAGAACACTGAGATCTCGAGAAGTGCATTTACTTTTAGTCGATTTAACAAAAGCACATGACACCGTGCCTGTTGCGAAATTGTGGGAAGTATTGGAGAAAACCAGTATCAGCGTTTCACTAATCGACGCTATTAAAGATCTATATAACAACACAATATCAAAAGTTAAAATAGGAAATAAGGTTACTAATGGTTTTCAGGTAACAAAAGGACTGAAGCAAGGTTGTTGTTTATCTCCCATACTATTTAATATATATATCGACGAAGCACTCAGGCAATGGAAAAAGAAGTGTAAAGGGATGGGGCTGTCTATTGGGGATGAAACGTTATACACGCTGCATTATGCAGATGACCAGGTAGTTATTGCCCAAGACAAGGAAGACCTAGAGTATATGGCTAGAAAACTAATGGAAGAGTACAAAAAATGGGGCCTCGAAGTAAATTTACAAAAAACGCAATATCTTTGCATAGGAGGAGAAAATACTGCAGATGACCTCAACTTAGAAGACGGGAAAATTAAGAAATGCGATCAATGTATATATTTGGGGGTAAAACTAACAAAGACAGGAAGAACTGATGAAGCCATAAAAGACAGAATAACCAAAGGGAAACGAGTTATAGGTGCATTGAATTCAGTACTATGGCAGAAAAATATAAGACCGGAAACGAAAAAAAGAATATATAACACAATATTAAAACCAGTAATCGTGTATGGCTCAGAAGTATGGCAGTTATCACAAAAACTTAAAGGTAACCTCTTGGCAGTTGAAATGGATTTTTGGAGGAGAGCAGCGGGAAAGTCTCGATTAGAACATGTGAGAAATGAGGACATAAGAAATCAAATGAATGTACAAAGATCAATTATAGAAGACATCGAAAAACAACAACTGACATGGTATGGACATGTTAGACGTATGGGGGAAGAAAGACTACCAAAAAAAATATTAGAATGGGTACCACCAGAGAAAAGAAAACGAGGACGACCACCAACAACATGGATGCAAGGAATTTCAAAAGCCATGTCAGCAAGAAATCTATTTGAAGAAGACTGGCAGAATAGACAGGCTTGGCGAACGGGAACCCAAAGGCGGATTACGCTATAAACGGGATATATATATATATATATAATATATATATATATATATATATATATATATATATATATATATATATATATATATATATGGTTTTCTTATTACTACCAGTATTACGACTATAGAGCACACATTGCATTTGGTATAACTTTAGAATAATCGTACGATAATCGTAGACTTATCGTGGATAAATGGTACGATAATCGTAGACTAATCGTAGATTAATCATACGATAATCGTGGATTAATTAGATAATCGTGGATTAATCGTAGACTAATCGTACGATACTCATAAACGGATCGTGGATTAACCGTACGATAATCGTAGACCAATCGTAGTATAATTCTGAATAAATCGTAGATTAATCGCGAGATAATCTTACTCTGTGTGCTGTAGTTTTTTATCGATACCAAAGAACAATTATAAATTATACTAACTGTTTCGGTTTGTTGATTTGATCTGTGTTTATTCGATACAATGACACATAGGGAACTATTCAGGAATACGATTATACCTGTTGTTGTGGCACGATGTATTTTAAAACGTTTGCTATACACAAAAACCGCTACCAAAACAGTACTAAGTACGAAAAACGTTTTTTTTTAAGTAATTGCACTAAATTTAACTACATTTTGCCATTGTCGATCGCAAAACTCGAGACACCGTTCTCTAAGTCAACGCCAACTCAGCACTTAATTGTGATAGTCTCCTAGGATCTCTTCTACCTCTATTCGAACTTCTAATACTCGTGTGGTTACTGTAGCCCGAATCGGAACCCAGAGCCGAGTCTTGGGAGTACGGTTTCGGTACGGGCCTGAAAGTAGCCAAGTGCCCTATGACCGGAACGGTCTCGTAGGGCCCTGGAGTCATACATTGTATCCTTTGGGTGATGCTGGGGATCTGTCGTCCTCGCGGAGGCGGGTGTTCGACACTGCCTACTCGGGGATACAGCTGAAGAAGCGCGTCGAGGAGCATTCCTTCGTGGAATTCTTGCCGCCGCCTGTCCAGGCTGCGATTGCGTTTGTTTCCCGGAACTGGCGGCAAAGGCTCGTGGGGTCTTCGGAACCTCGGGATATCTCGCCTTATACACTGAAAAAGTAAAATATTTTAGAGATAACGTTATAAACATCGAAAATAACATAAAACACTTAAATTATTACCAATATTATTGATCAGATAAAGGGAAGCAGATGGTACCATTAAAAATATTCATAAAAAAGGGAAGGATAATATAAAAGAAAAAAAGAAGAAATGATGAAGACAAATAAAATTAGTTTAGCAAAACAAACATTAAGCTTATAAAATATAAGAAAAAAGAAAGTGAAATGGAAACGAAGATGATAGAATAGAGTAAAGAAAAGAAATCGATGTGAACAAAAATAGATAATGCGAATAGAAATATTAAAGAGGAACTGTGAAAAATTAAAAAGAGGATAGGAGATCAAATAAAAGACCAAACAAAAATGAAAATAAATATTAATATTTCATGACAATTTCGTAAATTAGTAAAGTTGTCGAGCATTTACTTTTGATAATTTAATTATTCATAAACGATCTAGATAAATAGAGTAACTATACAATCTCATAAAAAATAATAGAGATAATGAGAGAAGACAGAGCAGAAAACAAGCAAAAAATGGAACAAAATTAGAGGAAAGATGTAGAAGAAAATAAAACGAATGAAAAAAACTAAGAAGCAACAAAAAGAAAAGGAAGAAAACAAGAAAAAAAGAGTTTTAAACAAATAATATATTGCGTGAAAGATTTAAGACTGTATTAATAAGAAAAATAAACTAAATATAGGTAATACAATCAGTCAACTTGATCATATTGTTGTGGATGCACGACATTACAGCGATGTTATTGGTCTTGAACAGGTCTTGATCAGGTTTTGATGTTTGTTTTCTACCTCAACGTGTTCCCCGTCCCCTCCGCTTTCCAACGATACCTTACACGTCACGATTCGACGAGCCATCGCGCCTCCACCAAAAAAAGCGTCAAAAATTACCAGAATCGACCTTAGCGATTTCCCATGTTAATTTCCATAAGAGTTGAGCTCGTTTCCGTGCTGCAACTTTACTAAAGTAAATCATTAGCTGATACATTTTGTACAAAGCAAGCCGTGAAAGTTTATATTAAACGAATAAAAGTAAAACTTGTCTGGAAGCATTGCTTTAAAGCCTCCATCTTTGTAAAGTTAAATTTCGGACCCTTTTACAGACCCTTTCCGGACGAAAATAACAAATTGAGTCTAGACACAAGAAATCGATAAGTTGACGTTACTAATTTAAAATTAAAAACACCGGACAAATAGAAACTCCCACCGGAATATAATTATGAATATTATATGTCGATAATGACAACGAATTAATTAAACTGAGTAAAATCGAGAGACGTACTTTTTAAAAGGTCGGAAATTAATTGCTTTTTGTCAGCGTGATAAACTTGCTGTCTCTTGCAGAGATTTTAAAAAATTAATCACCACGAGTTAATTTTAAAAATTCGTGACGAATTTGTTCACGATTTTACTTTCCAACATAATTATACCAGGTAAAATTTATGTATATATATATATATATATATATATAATATATATATATATATATATATATATATATATATATATATATATATATATATATAATATATATATAATGTTCTGATATATTTCCGTGGTCAGATGAATGAAAATCACTAGGTTCTCGGAAAGAACCGCGTTGAGAATTGAACGCTGGACGTTTCGGCTCCCATTTTAGAGCTATTATCAAGATTGATACGGTTCGGTTCGAGTTCGGGGTCTCAATCCGCCTACTCCCCTCACTCGAAACGTACCAGTATCGTGTTCTGTATTATAAATACAGGAACTGTCTCTCGGGACTGAATTCTCAATCTGCCTACTCCTCAGTGTCGAGTGACAATCGGTCTTACCCTGTGACGCTGCTTTTATACTCGCTGTACGCGCGGGAACTGTATGGGCTGACGTGGTCTGAACTGACGTGGCCTGAACGGTGTGGGCGGGAGGTCGCTGAAGTAGGGGTCGCCATGTTGGCGGCAATCGTTTTGCGTCGTCGCGCGTATTTAAGCTGTTAGGCCGTTTTTCGATTTCGATGGCTTCACGAATGATTCTTGATTTTAAGGAGCGGATGGGGGCGATGGTCTTTGCTTTTTCGAAGTCTATTTTGTGGCCTGTTTGAATGTGATGTTGGGCTAGGGCTGAAGTAGTATCAGAATGTTTGACTGATATAGAATGTGTATTCTGTATTACATTCTATATCAGTCAAACTCCATAACACCGTCAAATAGAGGAAGAAGTATAGAGGAGGAGGATGATTTCCAAAGGTATTATGATCATCTCTTTTTGACACAGTTTAAAAGACCAGATCTTTAAAATTCTAATCGACAGGATTATATTATGAGGAGGTCTAGTTGTGTTATTTCTTCTTACCGTTTCTGGTCGATACGGCGGCGGAGGAATGTCCAGTCTTCTTCTTTCCATTTCTCCAGCCAATGACAGTTCGTCTTCAGCGAATTCATCTTCGCTGTGATGGGCGGGCGTTAGTTCGCTGTCTGCATCGCTTAATTCTTCGTATACTGGATTGTAGAGGTCCTGGGAACAGTACGGATCAGGTCCTGGTGAAGAACATAGGAACACGGGCGGGTGTTGAGATATGGGATAGCCGCTGGGATAGTGGATATTGTTTTTAACGTCGATCATCTGGAAATGTAAGCAGAGTTAATTTTTTGCAGTTGAATTTTTCTTTCAGTACAAATTCCTTTCACCACAAAGGGAAAAAATGATATTCTTAAGACATTCCACTGGTATAAAAAGGACATACACAAACATTATTTTAGCGATGGGTTGATTAACAAAGAGAAAATTTATTAGATGTTTTATACAAAGTATTATTAAAAAAACTAAGCCTTGTGTGTACCTTATGTCTATTTATGCAGATATCTAGCAGATTAGTATTTCTTTGTTCCAGTCCTTTTCTGAATTAAGTACAAATTAAAGTGGTGCTAATATATATTGATATTTCTGTTAATTGATCTAATTCATCACTGATAATCTTGGACATCTCTCAGTTCAAGCTTATTCAAGAGAAGCAAATTTTCCAACATGATGAGTGGATACTTCGGCATTTTAAAAAGGTTGTTAGTGAAAACACTGTATGTGATGCCGTAAGACCATCCTCAGACAAATAGTCCCTACTCAATTTGACAATCATATACTGCAACGATTCATAATATTGCAATTTTTTATATTATTGAGCAATCCAATAGTATTCTGATACATAAGTTTTGACGAGAAATCTACAATTCAGCTCAAGCTCTACACAATGAACTGTTTTAGCTAGTGAAAGTAGTGACTGGAGAAGAATGTGTCAAGTCGTTAGAAGGTGTATTGACTGATGTGGTAGAACCTCCTTTGGCAGTGGAAATACACACTTGTCAGTGGTTCCAGTTAAAATTTGACTTTTGTTTGTATCAATAGGTTCCTTTTCATTAATTAATAATACAGGATTGGGCATCATATGTCAATTGATACTTGAATAGTACGTAATGTGTCTAATTGCTCCAGTGCTGAGCAATTTTAAGAACCAGCCTAGATTGATAGTTTTCTTCTAAATCACAACATGGCTCATGAGGTCGTAAGTATTTCTCATACTCTTCCAGGAAGGAGATAACGTATTATGTTAAATGCCTTGCTATGGTGTAGTTATTTCCCAACGAGTCTGTTTCTAAATAAACATATCCTTAAAAACCGTTGCACAGATTACAATACCAACTTCAAATGATTTAGTTTATACAAATGATGGTAGAGACGTGCACCAAATAATGAATTAGGATTTTGGTTAATACGTGATGGGGAACTCATAAAACCCGTGCTAAAACACTTTTTTTTTGAGCAAGTTAGTGCTAAAACTTCACCGACAACCAAACCATTTCCAGGAAATTTTTGTTAATTATTTTAGAGGCACTAATAATAAACTTTTCTTAAACAGAGGAGCTAGATGTACAGTTTGATATATTGTACGATTTATGTTCAGTTTTTGCAACAAATGTTTCCTTAATTTAAATTTTAATCTTAATTTTCCATACTCGTTATGAGTGAAGATATTAGAGATGACTTCAATTGCAAATAATTATAATCCTTTGCTATTGCAAAAGTAACACGTGGTAAAATATTCTCAGCGTCTATATACAGTTTATTGCAGCTACATATGAAACCAATGAAATAAAAGAATTAAAATATTCTTCCTACTTTGTGTATAAATAGTACAGTCATTTTCTATGAAAAACTGACTTAATGGCAAAATATTAGTCAAATAGATTTTTGTATAAGTTTATTTGGATTTATATGAAATTTATATTAAGAAAATCAAACAGCAAGTTCTATCTGATTGGTCAATGTTTTATTAATTATTCTCTATGGTTCTAGAAATTAGAACTGAATAAAAAAATTGTGAAATTCTGAAAAGCTCTGCAAAATGATTGGAGAATAAAATACTGCTTATTTTATAGATACATGGACGTATAAACACAGATGGATTCAGTTATTTACATAAAATTGTGAAGTCAAAATTATTTGAATAGGTCACATTCTCAGCACCTTCAACTGTTGTCACGTTTTGTTTTAAAATTTCTTATTCGCGAGTCGCTGAAAATATTACTCCGTATTTTATACTCTACAGGTGCTATCAAACCAAAATAATAATTTATTGGTTATATTAATATATTTAATTGTGATCAAAATATCATGTATGCACATAGTGTGCATTATCATTTAATAATAGCGTATAATAGATATCAATCAATTATTTTGTATGTAGAAGCACTGAAAACTATTTATAAATGGCAACGGTTGTTTACATTTCTCTGTTTTATGGATCTACGTCAAACTTCAAATGCTGTTCCATGTTTGTTTACTTTTTACAGCAGCATGAGGAAAAAGTTATTTTTCGATATTTTGGCTGTATTTTGAGTGATATTTGTGAAAAGTGAAATAAAATAAACAAAATATTTACATCCCAATCTCTCATTTCATTTGTAAGTACATACAATTTACATTATTTAAGATGAGGAAATGAGGAAGCGTGTTTGTTTACATTTTAATAGGCGTACCATTGGGTTTATTCATGTTCATTAATGTATTGAATAAGATATGAGTTCATGAAATTAGTAGACATTTATAAATTGTAAGTAGACATCCACTGATTAAAAAAGATCTGTTTAGTACCTTTTTAATTTAATATTTCTCATGGATACAAATAAATTATTGAAATGAATAAAACTCATTTATTTTTCTATGTAGGTTTCCAAATAATATTGACGATCGAACTATTTGGGTAGCAAATTAAGGAGAAAACATTTTATATGATTTTTGATTTTTTTTTTGACAAAGATTTTTTATTGTAGAATTATTTTAATACCTATTAAAAATTAACTTGAATCGAACTATATTTAATTGTATTAATTTTAAAGCAAATAAAATTGTATTTTAATTTTTCTATAAAGACGTGATTTGTTAATAGTTAAACTCTCTCTTTTTTTTAATTCTTTGAACGTGTTTTTATACATTATTACTACTTGCAATTTTTAAAATCTGAATAATTACCCGCGAGTGGAAAAATTCAAGCACGCTTATGATCATTGCGGAAGCATCACATTCTATCGAAGCTTCAAAACATTGTGTGTTAAAAGTATCTTATTGCTGTGTCCATCTATGTTTATACGTCCATGGATAGATATAATGGGAAATTGATAAGTAAGGCTATGTGCTTTAGTTTATAATCAACGAAACATGTTGAAAATCAAAGAAAACACTACATAGAAAGAAATACTTAACTTGAGCCTAAAGTGTTCTTATATAGTAGTGATACTGATCTGTAGACTTTAGAGATATTTAGTAACTTCTCTGGTTTTGGAATTATGATTGCGCAAGACACTTTCCAGGGAGTAGAAAAGTAGTCCAGTTGAAGAGAGGGATTGATAGTTTCGGCTAGCAGCGGCTTCTGGAAGTTGTTTAAGGCATCTTCTGTGTATAGGCCAGGGGTTGTGTTTTTGCCTAGACTAGTCTCCTGACGGTTTCGGTGACTATTGAGGCCACTCTCGTGATAGTTGGGTCTTCCTTGGAAGTCTGGGTTTCCAGAAGAAAGCCTATGTTTCACTCGGTTCTATCTATCTAATCAGCCTTAAACGCCCACTCTTGGGCATAGGCCTCCCCTGTTAATCTCCATTGGCCTCTATTTTGGGCGATCTGCATCCAGTCCTTTCCTGCCGTTCTCTTGAGGTCGTCAGTCCATCTCATCTGTGGTCTTCCCTTTTTGTTTTCTTTTCCCATGGTCTCCAGTTTAGAATTCGCTTATTCATGTTGTTCACTCGATTACTATAGGAAAATATTGTCTGAATTTGGGGTTTCAGCGGTAACCAATGTGGTTTGGAGTAAATCTGTGACGATTTCAGCATTGTCTAGCGGATTTGTGATGATTTGATTATTAAGTTTGAGATAAGATTGGTGTTTTGTTTTTTGTTTTGTTAGGATTTTAAATTTTTGCCAGAATTTACCTCCATCTCGGTAGTCCAAGCCACTTTTGTAATTTCACCTGGTTAACCTCTCTTTTGCCGAGAGTCGGTAATTTTCTGTTTTGATAAGAGGGTCTCGGAATCTTTTATATTCTCTAGAAGTGCATAGAGTCACGAATGTTGAGGTGTTGAGAAGAATGGGAAAAGATAAAGAGGTTTTAAATACAATTAAAGTCAGAAAACTGCAATATCTGGGACATGCCATGAGGGGCGAGCGTTATAACTAGTTGCAATTAATAATGCAAGAAAGAATACAGGGTAGAAGGAGTCACGGAAGAAGATACATTTCTAGGTTAAACAATTTGAGACCTTGGTTTAACTGCAATTCTGCTGATCTTTTTAGAGTAGCGGTATCGAAAGTGCAAATTGCCATGATGGTTTCCAACTTTCTTAGATGAGATGGCACATGAAGAAGAAGAATAAGTCGGCGCTTTGTTTGGATTTTAGTGAGGATTCTTTGTGGTAACATTGAAGTATATTCTTTATGTTTTGTTAATGAAATTAATAGGTTTGAAGCTTCTTGTAAAAGATTTTCAATGTTTGAGATGCCTATGTCAACTTGGTTTGTTGATGAGAGTTACCAAAGTCAGGGAGGTTGTGAGTAATGAAATCTTGGAATAGTTCCCAATTGGTCTTTCTGTAAAAGAATGGGCGTGTTGTATCTAGGGGTCCATAAGTCTGTTTTCACTAGGAGTAAGAGGTGGTCTGATGTTATTGAGTCATCTATGAGACATCTATCGAATTTGTCCATGATGCTTTCAGTGCATAGCATGTGATTATTGATAGACATGTGGCTAAAGAACGTTACTTCAGTATTGGTGATTCTGTCGATAGGCAGATTTAGAAGGAGATCTGAAAGGTGTCTAGCTAGGATATTGGAAGAATCACCAAATTGAGTGTGCCTTGCATTGAAGTCGCCCATTACATTTAGTCTGATGAGTATGAAAAAGTAGTCAATCAGAGGATCACAGGAAGGGTCGTCAATTACAGATTACGAAGGTTCTTGTCTTTTCGAAGCCGACCATGCCGAATGCTCACTTTTGCAGTTGGGACATTTTGGATTTTTAATGATGGGCAGGTCACGGATTATAATCTACCCCAAAATGCAATTTTCATAATGCCAGGTTATTA